AAACGCGTGTCTTTGGCACGAATAATAATAATAATCCGGGCAGTTCCAATAGGGTCTTCGCACCCTTTGGTGCTCGGACCCTAATAAGACAGCTATTAATAATAATAATACATGATGCTGAGAACAATACAGCTAATAACATCACCTCTCAAAGTATTGTTAAAAACAATATATCTGATAACAATACTGATTATAATAATAAAGCTAATAATGCTAATGACAATACAGCTAACAATGCAGACAACGATACCGCGAATGACAATAACACTGATAATGTTAATGTCAATACTAATAATCTTACAGCTAATAGTAACACAGCTCACACCAGTAATTCTGATTGTAATAGCTATTAGCAGTGCTGCTAATTAATATTGCTATTAGCTGTATTGCCAATAAGCTAATAATGACAAAACAGCTGATCTTTTTCTGTGTGTTCCAACAGTACCATGTCGGGGAGGAGGCTACGAGAGGCCGTGAAACAGGTGAGAAACAACATGAACACAAACACCAAACCCAGCAACACACCATGTGTTCCTACTACGTGTTATTACTGTGTTGTTACTGTGTGTTTGTGTGTCAGGAGCTGGAGTCGGAGGGGACGTTCAGGGACACTGAGGTGGTGATCGCTGGCCTCAGCAACAGCTACACTCACTACATCACCACCTACGAAGAGTACCAGGTACAGCTGAGCTTCATGGGAAATGTAGTGTTTACAGCCGTCTTACTAAAATAATTTAGGGAAAGTTAAAGTAAAATGAAACTTAATTCATCTGATTGTTGTTTTATTGGCTGGTTTTGACAGTCAGTGCAGACGCTTGGCCAACAGACTGGAAGCAGCAGGAATCTAACAGTTATTGTTACCTGTTCCAGGTGCAGCGGTACGAAGGAGCCTCCACCATCTATGGGCCGCACACGCTCAGTGCGTACCTGCACAAGTACCGAGGCCTGGCCAGAGCCATCGCTCAGGTGAGACGCACCTTTAATGATCCAACATGGAAGATCCCGTTGTTCCTCCTTTGACATTTGTTCACCGACAACGAGCTTCACGTTTTATGTCTCACCTCGGAGCTGTTGCTTAACGAACTGCAAAAACAGTAAATCTATAAAACTACAAAGGACGTTTAGAATTTGTTGTAAATTGTCCTGAAGAAACAGAATCTGTTTTACAAACATATACAACAAATGTTAAATGTGAACGTAGCATTTAGCCAATGAGATGCTACGTGTTAGCTTCCACAGCAACACTCTACGTTTAAAGTATTAACTAAAGACCCAAACTCATCAATACTGGTTACAGATGAGGCAGATATTCAAGCGTAAAGATCTGTACCACAAGTAGGTGATTCGTTCTCAGTCAGATCTGAACAAACACTGAAACAGTTCAATCTTTGATCTGATGTTAGTAACAAACATCATGAATCCACCAAGAAACCAAGGAAACGCTTTCTGTGTTTGTGTTTTCAGGACCGAGTGTCGGAGCTGCCGGTCGGCCCAGAGCCTCCGTTCTTTACAAACCTCATTAATCTGCTGCCTGCAGCACCGGTTGATGGAAAACCACAAAACACCAGCTTTGGAGACGTTCTGCAGCAGGTTTATCCTGTCTACAGGCAGGTAGGTCTCACCTGGGGCGTCCGTCAGGGTTCAGTACTCGGCTCAGTTTGTTTCAAATTCGGAGGTTTAATCAACCACAGTGTGTCAACCTGAAAATGAGCTGAGCAGCAGAAGATAACCACCTCAAAATATCTCTGAAAACGATGAATAAAGTGACTTTCACAGCAGTTTTGGTCCACAGACCAAGATGACCAAAAGTGTCAACATAAATAATGTGCAGGTGATTCCACCTCCAACCACTGACGTTGGTCATTTGAACCATCAGCAGCTGTTAACGCTGCCTGATGTTTCCTGAGGATTTAACAGACCAACACGCTGATGACACTGTTTTATGTGAACTGAAGCGTTTTAACGTGTTTTTCAGGGGGATGTTGTTTCGGTTACGTTTGTGGCTGGAAACCCGAGACACTCCGGAGACATCGTAAGACGTCTTTGTGTTTTCTTCTAGTTCTCGCTGGTTTTTGCTCCTCAGTGTTTTAACTGTTTCTGTCTTTTCCAACCTGGTCGGTCTTGTTGTTTGTTGCAGAGGGACAAAACTTTTGTAACTGTGGAGATTTTCGACAACAGAACAGAGACCTGGGAGGTCGTCCACAATGATGCATCATGGGAGACCAGGTGGGTTCATGTACAGGACAGCAGACCTCGGTTAGGCTTCAGGACTGTGAGACTCCAACGAGCTTCACCTGAGACGTAGACCAGAGAACATGTTAATGATTCACTCTAGAAACCTAAACCAGTGTAGAGGTGTTCCTGCTGAGGCCGACCTTCGCCTCCAGTCTTTGACGACATTAAGCAGCGTCTCTTGTTGCAGGTTTCACTGGCTGAAGGGTTCAAACCGGCAGAGTAACGCCACAATCGAGTGGTTTGTTTCTCCGTCGGCGCCCAGCGGCTCCTACAGGATCCGACACTTCGGACACTACAAAGAGCTGAAGGGCTTCCAATCAGTCATCACTCCGTACGAAGGCGTGTCCGACGTCTTCAGAGTCGCCTCCAGCTTCTACTATCAGTGACATCATCAGGGTGTCTGAGGCCACGCCCCCTGACCACCAGAGCAGGAAGTCTGTATTTCCATCAGGTGTTCAGAAAGTGCCGCAGATTTAAAGTAGACACGTTCATAAAACCAGTACAAATACGTTCAGACTCAAATTTAAAGTCCAGAGGCCTCATTTATCATCAGTGTCTAGAAAAGCTTCTAAATTCTGTCGTACGCATGAAATTTAGAGTGTAAGTACAAAGAAATCTGTATTTATCAAACGTGCGTACGGGGGTGGTATCATCAGTGTTGGTAGATCCCACTGGTTCTTAACCTCCGTGCTCGCTGCCTTCAGGAACGCCTCCACATCACCACATACGGCAACAACACACCTCTTTATAAACAAGTGAAGGTTTCTTTTCCTCACTTGTCGTCATCATCGCGGCAAAAAGGACGACGAAGAGGAACTTTTCTGAAACTGAGATCGAGGTACTCGTCAGCGAGGTTGAAGCAAACCAGAGACTATTGTTTGGTGCATTAATGTTGGGATGAGCAGCGAAAGGAGAAACGCTGCCTGGGACAAGATAACCACCACAGTTACTCCTGTTGGTCAGAAGACAGATCGCCGGCAGAATGTTTAAAAAGAGGTTTGATGTTAAGCTCAGTGCCAAGAAACGCATCACAGCCCATAAAAGAGAACTGATGCAACTGGAGGACGAGTTCATACCAACGTCCACCCAGTGGATAACCCTGATCACTGCAGATGACATGTTTAATAACCAGACTAAGTCCAGCTGAAACATCTCCACTCTGTGACACTCACCAATAAGCCAGCCGTCCTCAGCAGCTCCTGCTTGGAGACCCACAGAACTGTTCTGCTCAATGAACGAGTCGTGTTCCTCCAGGCCACCGGCAACAACGTTGGATAGCCACAAATGTGCAGCGCAGATTATCTGGACGTTGGTTGAATGAAACCCTTTTCTAATAATGTAATTAAACTCATTAATGATGCTGCTTTGATTGTGATGTGGGTGCAGTCTGTGGCTCCACTTATGTTTATGGCGTTAAGTCCCCGTCTGATTTGGGCTCGTTGGAGACGGCTGTAAGGGAACTGGATGTAGCCTGGGACCAGGGGAGGTATGGCATCCAACTGGATGTAGGCTGGGACCAGGGGAGGTATGGCATCCAACTGGATGTAGGCTGGGACCAGGGGAGGTATGTCGTCCAACTGGATGTAGGCTGGGACCAGGGGACTTATGGCATCCAACACTGCCGGCTTGATCCTGCTCAGTGATGCTGGAAACGCCGCATTTGTCTCCAACCTCACGCTGGAATGTGCTGGTGGTCAGAATCCCTGAATACTTCTATTTGTAGTTTCACTGTTCTACCACTAGATCATGTGCGTACACATGGTCAGAGGTGTGTGTATATTTACACACAGTCCTAAGTATCAGTTGATAGACGCCATACTTTGCGTAGGAATGTTGGTACGGTCTGATGATAAATGAGGCCCGTGGAACAATAAACTGTACATTATTTCAGTCCTGGAGATATTAACTGTACATTATTAACAAATTATTGTGTAAAAAATGAACAGCAAATAAAAAACTTTAAATATTTTAATATGAAACAGTAGTTTGGCTTCTCATTATCGTGTCTTTAAGAAAGTAAGATTCTTTGCAGGTGTCTTGCGTCTCTTTGTGGTCACTGATCTTTGAAAGAGACACAAAACAATCACAGACACACACGACACTTACATCCACAAAGCACCACAAAAAGACGACAAAGATTCTGTTTGTCAGCAAATAAAAACCACAAAACTGTTACTAGCAAAAATATTTATTCTCCACTTGTTTGTATAGAAATGTATCAGGCAGACCAGATCTGTACGGCGCCTCCTGCAGGTCACAGACTTTCTTTTTAAGGATGACTATTGAGTTCCTTCCCAATCTGCTTTCTGCCTCTGATCCGTACGAACGGCCGGTTCTGACCGAGTGTTTCCTGGACCACTGTTAGAACTGAACCAACACACCAGCTGCTCGTACGGATCAGAGGAAACAGAAAACAGAGTGAAAGCAGAAGTTTCCGTCACCTTTCAGAGGCTCGTAAAGTTACACAACACAGACACAGAAGTTATGTTCACAGCAGAGTTCATGTCGAAGGTTCAGGATGACGAAGGCGGAACATCGACGCTCAGCCTTCAGCAGGTTCAGCCTCAGAGGAGCAGAGACGCCGCGCGCTGCTTGAAGACTACGTGTCTGAACGTCGTGGCAGGCCGGATTATGTTACATGGACGTTATATGGACGTTACATGGACGTTTTGTCTTGACACGTGCCTCAGATCACAGGTCAGCGATGGTTTGTTGGTCGACTGGTAAAGACTTTGCTCCAACTCACGACAGTTTCTGTCTGCGGTTTGGTTGTTGAGCCCTTTTTTAATTTTACACTCAGACGTTCAGTGGAGGGACTCTACAGCAGGGCGGCAGGTTTCTAACCTCTACGTCCTCCAACACTTTGCATATTAACGTTAGACTGTGGATAAAAATAAATGCTCTGATATGAAGACAGACGTCCAGTCTGCTCTCGACCCGCCAAAACTCAAACCAGAACCTCACTGATGTCTCGATGCAGCTGAAAGTTTAGTTCTGACAAAACTGGTTTTTGTTAAAATCATCAGTTAGAAGCAACAAGTGCTGAACAGAGATTCACAGCTGGCCCCGTGTTTCACTGCACATCACTAGTTCTTTTTTTACAGTGTAGATTGAGACTAAAAACACTTCACCTGATATTAGCAAATGAGAAACTGGGTTTGTCTTATTTTATAGTATTTTACACATTAACCCAAAGACGAACGTCATCTTTTGTTGTTTCTAGAAGAGAGCTTCTGCATCTTTTCGTTCGTTAATCTCTTCACGAGCTGGTCGTGATCCAAAGAGGACAAACTGCAGTTTTTATAGAATTAGACTTTCAGACTCGGCGCTGTTGGGTTCTGAAGATCGGGCGTGTTGATGTGACAAATGAAAAGCTCAGACGTGAGTCTTTGTTCTCCACAGGTTAAAGTGCGTTCAGTTCAAACACAGAGTTTGTATAAAAATGTCAAACAGGACTGGACCGGCTGATGGTTGAGGATGGAAGATGCTGGTAGTCTCAGCAGCAGAACCGGATCTGGACTCTGCTGGACGTTTACAGTTCGGAGGGAGATGGGAAGGCTCTACAGAGGAACGCGTTGAACTCGTTCAGGTTCTCACACGGTTCTGGAAACGTCCTGTTTGCTGAGCAGAACTTCCAGCAGTCGCAGCTTCGCCTTCAGCTGCTTGTACTCCTGATACTCGTCCTTCATCGGACTGCGGTCCTCTTTCTGGCAGATTCTGGTGGGAAACACACGAATCACATGAAAGACCCGTTCTACACTCGTGCACTGAGACTCGTCTGAGAGAGCTCGACTCGTCTCTCACCTCCCGGTCTGTCGGTAAAACTCGTCCTCGAACTCCTTCAGAACCTTACGTCTCGTCTTCTTCTCTGCTCTGGTTTCCCGCAGACAGTCGAGCAGCTGAGACCTGACCGGGTTTCAGAAACCAGTTTTAACCAACAGCTGATCCAAACAGTGAAACCACAGCAGGACTCAGGGACACATCCAGACGACGGAGGCAGAACTTCCTCCTCAGATAACACAAGCATTGCTGTAATATTCCGGCAGCGGAGGCACCGAACATGTAGAAGGACAGTCTCATGACAAGACGGTCCTGTGAACACTGAGCACATTTTCTAGATGGAGGAGAACGGAGGAGGTTGGAACTCACCTGGAGGCTTCGTGCAGGTTGGCCGTGGTCAGAGCCGCCTGCTGACGAACAGCCTTCACCTCGTCTATCGGAGACACGAACGCCGGGTCGCTGTCTCGGTCGCTGTCCTCCTCGACGGCCGCCGGGCGAGTCGGCCTGCGAGGGGGCGGGACAGGAAGTTCGTCGGCCGCCGAGTCTTCGTCAGAGCCGTCCTCTTCCTCCTGACACACAAACAGCGTTTTCATTCTGCTCAGCTGCTGTTTTCTACTGAACCTCTGAACGTTCTGGATGTTCTCTGTCGCGTTGCTCCTCGCTGAGCTTCATGTTTCTCTGCTGTTCATCGCGCTTTTGATTATTGATTATTAATTAAGGTGAAAATAAAAATAAAATTCTGGAATAATCAACAAGTTGTTTTTGTTTAAAGTTATGAAAAATTAAAGTTTTCACATTTAAAAAGCTGCAATCACAGAATTTAAACCAATAAAAACAGTGGTGATGCATAAGGTGATAAATTGCTGCTGCTAATCAATGAATCTGTTCTCACGATGGTGCTGATGGTCGGACTGGAGCACAGCAGGACTTTGATCATCTGGTACCGGTCGTACAGAGGCTTCACCAGGTTCTTCTCCTGTTTAGTTCCCTGAGAGACAAACAGAAAGCCCTGTGAGCTGCAGCGCCGCCCGGTGGCTGGAGGCCGCCGCCAAAACATCAACGAATACGATGTGATGGAAACTAGAGTCCTATGGTCCATAAAACAGTCATAGTTCAGTGAGTCGCACAAACATGAAAGAAGTCATCGTACAGGAGGTCGTTGTAAACACATGAAAGAGGTCAGAGTATGTTGTGACACAGTCACAATGTGAAGACGTCGGTGTAGTTCAGAATGTCATCAACAGCAGGAGAAAGTAACACGACAGCATGTTGTCATCGTACAGAAACATTACAAACACATGATTAACATCGAAAAATGGCAGAAAGTCATCGTGTATGTCCTGAAACACCTGAAACAGTCGCAGCATGTCATGAAAACACTGCAGTATAGCAAACCTACAAACAGTCTGAGTGTAGTCCAACAGTCACAGGACAGCACGATACAAACCACGTCACGGTGTGGTCCAGACGGCACAAGGACTCACCGGCCGGCCGTGAAGACTCTCAAAGTACAGCAGACACTTCTGCAGGGTGATCTTCTCCAGAACCATCTGGGCCTGAGTCATCTCCTGCACACAAACACCAGCTCTGAACAAACATGGCCGACTCAGCCAACAGGTGTGCAGGTCATAAAGAAAGCAGCAGCGTGGTCACGGTACCACGAGTCCGGTGAGGAGGAGGCCGTCTTAGGAGAAGTCCTACACTGACCTTCATGTTGTCGGGGAGACCCAGAGCTTGTCGCTTCTCTCTCAGTCGTCTGAACAGAGACTCCACTGTTTCCTCCAGAGCCGGTTTGTGCTCCGACGCCCCCTGCAGCCCGGAGCTGTACCTGCAGGACACATTCATACAGAGTGAAGGTCTACACATGCAGCTGAGACCACCGTCCCGCCCTGCCTCAAGTCCTCCACCATAGTCCCTCTGCCCAAACAGCCGACCATCTCGGCCCCGGTGACTACGGGCCAGTAGCACCGACTCCTGTGGTGAAGAAGAGCTTTGAGATCTTCATTCATAGGTGGGGACTGTGTGGAGAGAGTGTGGGACTTCCATCTTCTGGGAGTCCACATTAGGGATGACCTGACCTGGGCCATGAACACAGTGAGCTGGTGAAGAAGGCCCAGCAGAGACTTTACCACCTGATGGTCCTCAGTCCTCCAGCTCATGGTTCTTCTGGTAGGTTAATGGTAGCAACTGGACCTGCTTGAGGTCCTTGAAGACGTTCCACCTTCATCCAGGAGGCTTCATCAGCTCTGACTGACTAGTTGGGAGTTCCACATACTGATATCCTGAAGGAGACATTAACACCTGAGTTTGGGTTTCATTTGGGGGTTTGTTGCTCCTCCCCCTCGTTATGTGGGTCGTTAGTGCTCCTCCTGACACAGTGGGGTTCGTTAGCGTCTCTGTGTCTAGGTGTGGATGTGGTTTCATCTTCCTGGGGAGAGATCTGAGGACTGAGCTGTGACCAGGTGAGAGGTGAAGCCTCAGACCTCCACCTCTGCTGAGGGACGGTCTCTCCAGTTGGACATCGATGCTTCTGTCAGTCCTGTCTCCAACCATCTGTCCTCCCTGCAGGACAACATCTCTACGCTGTCTTCAAAAGACAATCCTCCTCAGTAAGCCCAGTACTTGTTGGCTCCTGGATTGTGTGTCTACATGTGTTTGTGTGCGTCTGTGTGCGTCTGTGTGCGTCTGTGTGCGTCTGTGTGCGTCTGTGTGCGTCTGTGTGTGTCTGTGTGCGGTGACCAGGTGAGCGTTACCTGCAGACGTCGGTGTTTTCCGGCTCCTTCGACTCGAACACCGACTGCCGAAGTCTCAGCTCTGCAGGACACACACAACAACACATTAACACAATCACACAAGAAAACACACGTTTGTGTCCTTTTTTAGTTCAGAATCAGTTCAGGGTTCATGTCAGTGTTTCACAGAACCGGGTCACCTGTCAGGGACCTGATGGGATGTTCGTACCTTTGAGCTGCTTTCGAGCCTTCGCCAGTTCGCTCATCACTCTCACCATCTCTGGGTTTGAATATTTATCGTTGTGTGACGGCTGAGACACAAAGAGGCAAAAAGCACCAACATCAGAAACCAAAGGACTGAAACTCTAAACAGGCCGTCGGCCTCCAGGACAGATGATCGGAGGAAAAGGAGACTGAGAAGCAAATCTCACCTCCAACATGTGATGACTTCAGTTATTTCATGTAAACAAGCTGCTCCAGAACCAAACTCAGGTCATCGTCATACAAACACAGATCTCTGGATTATTAGCAGCTCCAACGAGGTAAATATGTGGAAGTTCTGCTGTTGTTCTGCTCTGAATAAAAATCTCTCCCGACTCTCCTTCTGCTGTCGATACGTTCTGAACATTTCAAACTGTTCTTGACCTAAATATCAGTCACATGTTTTCAATCCATGTCAGAAGAAACACGTGTTGTTCAGATGTTTGTGAAACAAACCAGAATCAGCAGCTTCAGGGTTTAAAGGTAACAGCTGATGAAGAACGGAGCAGCTCAACGTGACTGGTTCTGGATTCACCTTGTAGTTGGTCTCCTGCTCAAACTGGTCCTCAAACCTTCGGACCTTCTTCTTCAGAGTCTGGATGTGTCGCGTGAGGAAGGGGATGGAGGGGGGGCACTGGTCCTCCGGTTCCTCGGTCCGGTCCGCCCGACCCCGACACCTGAACAGACAGATGAGGTTCTGATTCAGCCGAGCAGGTTCTGCTCAGAGCAGGTTCACTGAGGTCACAGCTGGGATGCAGCTACATAAACTGTGCAGAAACAGGGTTTATAGGGTCAACAAAGAAACAGGAAGTAGATGTTGGTGCTTTTCTTCAGTAAACAAAGAGAGCCGAGGACAGGAAGCAGAGCGACACTAAGAACCGGGTCACAAACGCTGTTCAGCTCCAGGCTGTGGGTCACAAACACAAGAACAAGAAGAACGAGGAGGATTACGTAAGGTGCATTAACAGAGGACGGATCGAGCTCAACAGAAAACGTTAGTGTCAAAGGACGGAGAACACGATTCGTCAGCACCCGCAAACCAGAACACAGTCCCAAATCCAGAACCACACCAGAACCAACAGTCCCCAGTCGAGAAAAGCACCAGAGTTCCAAATGTAGAACCGCACCAGAAATAGAAGTCTTCAATCCAGAACTACGCCAGAACTCAAAGTCAAATATCACCAGAACTTAGAGTCCCAAATCCAGACCCTGATCAGGACCAACATGTACCCAGTCTGCAACCACACCAGAACCAAGTGTCCCAAATCTAGAACTATGCCAGAAAGAAGAGCCCTAAATCTAGACCCAGATCAGGACCAACTTGTACCAAATCTAGACCCAGATCAGGACCAACATGAACTCAAACTGAAATCCTTCTGGAACTCAGAGTCCCACATACAGAACCACCTCACAAGTAAAATGTCCACATCAGGCCCAGATCAGGTCCAAATCGTACCAACTCTAGAACCACACCAGAACCACACTAGAACTGAGAGTCCCAAAACTGAAATCAGAACTTAAAGTTCCAAATCCAGACCCCGGTCAGGACCACAATGAACCAAATGTAGAACCACGTCAGAAACAACGTGTCTCACAAACAACCAAACCAAGAACATCAAGTTCTTGAAGACAGTCCCGACTGAAATCAGGACCAACAGGACCCGGGTCGATGTCCAGAGAAAGCCCAGATGATCCCAGACACGGTGAGCAGAGCGTTCTGCTCTGGAACGGGCTTTGTTCTGCTTCTCATGAGCACGTTTTCTACAGTTAGTATTTAACTTCAGCACTTCTTCTATTATTTCATTTTTAGAGACTTAATTTACGACATCGTGTAACT